ATCTTTCAGTGAAACAAATGGTATCTTTCTTTGTTTCATGTACATGAGGGATGCTGGGACTAGCTATAAACTTTATGAACATCATATTCTTTCAGGAAAGGAAATGCAAGATTAAAAGGGCTCAGGGTTTGTGCAAACAAGGATTTATGGCATTGGTGCTGAAACCTGGCTCCTTGCAGAGAATGGAGCTTTTCATTTGCAATGCTCTTGTCACCAAGGATAGTTATTCTTTTAGATGAGGGAAGAGGAGTAAAAGCAGATTTAGAAATACACTGAGGGGTAATGCAGTATCTAGTCATCATGCATGAAACAGCCACATGGAAATATGTAAAGAGTCTACTAAAATTAAGCATTTTCCCCCATATCTACAAGCAGCTGTTGATCAGACATTAAGTAATGCAGGTATAAATCAACAGGGAGACTTATGTGTATATATAACTCTGTGGCTGTAATGGGAAACTGAATTGCACAAAGGAAAAAGTAAGCAGATTGCACCAGTCAACTATTTTTAGACCTTTGGAGCTGGAGCTTGGTTTCCTTTTCTCAGTGTTACTCTGCGTGCTCTTGAATATTGGAGCTTTTTGGGGAAGGAATGTGAATGTGTAACAGTCCAGTTAAAGTTACTCTTGGGAATAATATTTTCTAAAAATCTGACTACAGTGGTAATTACGTCTGACCCCTAAGCCAGATAAAATTACTTTGCAGCTTCCTGGATTATAATTCTGCTTTTGCCTTCGAATGCAATGGTCAGTGAGTGGCCACTTCTGACCATCAGTCTTGCTTCATTCTGAAATAGCACCATTTGTTTGCAATGTTTGTATTAAAATTAACCATCTTGCAATACTGAGTGCTAGTATCATGTTTAGCACATCCACAACAGACAAATTACGCAGTGGACAGTCTTGTTCTAAAGAGAGTGTCCTTAATACATTCACAATCCATATAGGCAGTTTGTATAGGTTGTGAAAGGATAGTACTGGTTCTCCTTGCCTGAAAAACAAATTATTATTTATCTGAATTTATTAGCAGAAATCAGTCCTGTAGCCTGTAGAAGAGCACACACTGGACAAAAGGAAGAAGCTAAGCAGGTTCATTAGCTTCCTATAAGTGCTAGTCACTGATTCAATCAATGAGGTTTGGAAATTGCACACATACAGATCCCAGCTCTTTTTTTAAAAGTTGCACGCTTAGGCCCATTGCCATGTATAAAATAGTTAAGCCACTTACACTGTTACTTATGGCCAAATGAACTGCTACCATTTAATAGAATTGAGGACAAGTTTGCATACAGTATTTGTTTCATATAATAGTTTCTAGTCTATCCTTAGTCTCTATGAGGACAGGAATGAAGAACAAGAATTTTGTGCAGTAGAAGGATTAGAATGTCCATTGTTAAGAAAGGACTCCCGCCTCTTTTACTGTTGTTAGCAGAGAGTGCTATAATAAATACTATTTTCTTCTTAGTTGTAGAAAACTTGCCCCAGTCTGCATGTGGCCACCTGTAAGGAGAGCAAAACCTTTAAAAAAAAAAAAGTTATGAAATGTTGAAAAGGCACATTTACTTGGAAACCACTTGCCTTGATTCTAATTGAACTTTCTTCCAGTTTGTGCTTAAATTAAAGTTTAATGTAAAACACTTGCAAGCTTGCAAAGACACCATTTAAATACTCTTAGTAAAAAGCCACCCTGCAGCACATATCCAGAATCAACTGCATACATCCTTGTTCTCTGCTAGCTAAAGTCATCATTTTTTCTAACATTTGGATGATGTTTATCTCTTGTCTTCCAAACTGAAAACATAATGCCTCATAGGTCTGGTACACAATACTCCAAGCATTATTTCACCTCGGTGTTATTTAAGAGCAGTATTATATTGGCAATTCTATTTTCAATCCCCTTCTGAAGATTCCAAGCATGGAATTTGCCTTTTTTACAGCAGCTGCATGTGGTTGACATTTTCAATCATGCTATCCATCCTGACTGTGAAATTCCTTTCCTAATTAGGCACTGCCAGCTCAGTACCCATTAATGTATATATGGGAGCTTTTTTGTCCCACAATGCATCACTTTACTCTTGTTTATCCTGAATTGCATTTGCCATTTTGATGCCCAGTCACCAAGCTTGGAGACTTCCTTTCAAAGCTCTTCACAATTTATATACAAGTTTAAAAGCACCAGTTCCACTATGCGCATCTCACCAGTGTTACCTATTTATTCCTACTCTCTTGTTTCCTGCTTTTTTAATCCAAATGCCAAGCCATGATGGCACCTCTCCTTTTATTCCATGACAACTGAGTTTGCTTTGGTGAGGGATTTCGTCAGATGGTTTTTGAAAATCTAAGCATACAATAACACCTTGCTATATGCTTATTGATGCCCTCAAAAAAAAAGTCTAGAAGATGAGCAAAACAAGACTTACTTTTGCAGAACCCATATTGGTTTCTTTTCAGCAAGGCTGCTATGTTTGCTCATTTTCTCTTTAACAATACTTTAAACTACTTTCCTTAAAATAGATGTTAGGATAACCGGCTTATAGTTTCCCTTATCACTCATAAATCTCTTTTCAAAAACTTAGGTCACATAGACTGTTTCAGGCCTTGGTAACAGATGCCAATGTTGAAGACAAATTGCATATTTTTGTGAAAAGGTCAACAATTTCATATTTAAGTTCTTTAAGAATTCTTGCGTGCTTGAGTGAGTTCTGTCTGCCCCTGGAATTTATTTATCTTTAATTTGTCCATTTGATTTATAACATAATCTCTCATTATGACTATTAGTACCATTGTCCAGCTTTCCTCTGGGAAAACCCAGCTGAGGCACAAGCATCTGTTCTACATCTTTCACAGTGAAGAGCGAAATAAAGACTTCCATTCAGTTTCTCTGCTATTCCCCTTTGGCACTCCCATAATGCTCCAATTGCCAACTATCATTCTAACCAGTTTCATATTCCAAATAACCTGAAGATTTTTGTCTTAATACTCTTTGCCATGTGTTCCTCTAAGTCTTACCTGCATCTCTCTTGATTATTTTGGTGGCCAAATAATATGCAGGCAGAGTAGTGACATAATAATGTTATTGGAAGGAGCAGAGATGTAAGGGGAGGTGGGGTGTTGTCTGTTTCCTGTTTGTATTTTACAGATTTCTGGGTGTATAAATCTACTGAGACTAATACACCACTTTTTGTATAAAGAGTTTCCCACTGAAAATTGGCAGGAGACATAATGTTTTTGCTCAGCGGTTTACTGTCAAATTTCAGTGCCATAATCCTAAATCTGGGGACAATGATAAATAGGCTTGGAAACAGCCTGCAGGCTATCCATCCTGCAATGAATCAATGAAAGTATGGAACCAAAAGACATACTGCTGCTATTCCAGACCCTGGGCCAGATGAAGATGCAGGTGCCATGGTCCTACCTGGCTCTACTGATCTTCCCCAGAGTTCTATCCAGAAACAGGTACAAGGCAGGTCATGTTAGAATGGGGTATCTCCCATTCTTTAATACCTACCATCCTCAGCCATAAAAATCACAATATATGTATGGTAAGTTCATAGTATCTATGAGCTATACCTTAGGTACTGAATGTACCTTGAAAGATAACAATGCAATGTTTCTTATGGCACCAACTTTATGTTAAAGACACCTTGACCTATTGCATAACTATAACTGGGTTCACATATTGCACTAAACCTTCTTTAGTTTGTTGAGTAGGCCACAGCCATCTCTGTGAGCCATGGTCCAGAAAACTACATTATGACCTAATGGGAAACGTCAACTCAGTCTTTGTATTGTGATGTGTGCAAAAGTGAGGAATTCTGCCAGAATTGAGTAGGTTGTCAGTCCCAAAGGAATTGTTGGGAATATCTATGGTATGCACAGACAGGGTAAGAGATGAATCCTGACTCTTTGGAAAGTGAGCTGCAGGAAGTGAGGAGTGGTCAAAACCCACCTCCTCCCCTTCTATCTTTTTTAAAGAAACCATCAGGTCAGGATGTTTTACATCTGTCAACATGGAGGTACAACTATAGGGTTTTTTTTCTTCCTTTCCCCTGAAGTCACATCAAGACATACAATTAATTTATTTTGAATTCACAAAAGAAAAAAAAATTAAAATGCCCTGATGTGACTTCAGGAGGGGCGGGAAGAAAGCAAGCCCTTCCCCATGTCCTAGTGCTGAAATAGGGAATGTCCTGACCTGAAGTGTCTTTTGGAAAGATGGGTAGTGTGATGGTAAAATGATTCCCTGAGGGAAGGGTGAACATCTCTTTTGCTAACACCATATTGTTAAAGCCCAGAGACTACTATTCACAGAGCAATATTAATAACCTTGGTAGGGAACATTCTGCTCTTGGACTCCATGAATGAAGTTTGAAAAGCCATTTGGGAGCAGCTCCCTGTAAACAAATTATTTTTTTTTTCCTCAACCTGGTTCCTCTTTAACAAGGAGAGAGAAGGAGTCCCATATTAATAAGTTAATGTTAGATGGCTGTAGGAATGTCTGAGTAGGCTGCTGTCAGAGAAGCTCTCTTAACCTGATAGCTCATCTAGTTTAACTTTCGTCATCTCTTTACTCAGCCACTGCTAACAACGCAATCTAAGTAGGATCCATTTTAGTCTTTCAGACCTGGAACCCCAGACAATACTGCACCCTTTCCCCTAAGTTAGGAAGTCACCCAGTTAACATATGCAAAGTTATGGACCAGGTACTAAATGTTTTATGTTGTAACAATGGCAAGTGGATAAGTATGTATTACAGGAGGAGGAATGACACTGTTTGCTTTTTTTCTCTTCCCCTCAGCTACTGAATTTATCCTCCAGGGTGCAGAAAAGTTCTGGAAGGATTACTAAACTGCCAGGAGGCATACATGCTTTAAAGCTGAGTTCACTTGCTGGCAAAAAAAAAAAAAAATCAAGCCATCTTCTGATCCTAGTTAGAGGGTGGTTCCTTCATTTGAGACCCAGCAACATCCTACAGAGAACTCCAGGACCTCTGAATACATCATGGTGCAGAATAATCTGGATATGGGGGAAACTAGGAAAGGAATCCTGCTGGAACCATTCATCCACCAGGTTGGAGGACATATGAGCATGATGAAGTATGATGACTGCACTGTCTGCAAGCCCCTTGTCTCCCAGGAGCAATGGTTCTATGAATCTCTTCCAACAGCAATGAAACAGTTCACTCCTCATTACAAAGGTAGGGCTAAGATTCGAATCTTGAATGTACCCATTTGGAAATAAAGGCCAGTAGATTCTGAATAAATATAATAAAGATCATGTTGCAAGGTTAATAGTGAGAGGTTAAGGGTGTGTGCTTAGTGAATGATGCTTATATTTTATCTGGAATACCCCCTCTTCTCCAGTTGCCGAGAGGGAAGTGAAGGCAATAGGCCTCATCACCTATAGTTAGTTACTAGATCTTGTCACACAGAGAAATGATATATTGTCCAAAACCATTAAAAATATACAGGCCAGTTGTTGGCAGCTTATGAAAGGAAAGAATGAAACTTGAGACAAGAGCAAGAAAGGGATTGTTGTGTCTTTCTTGGTATTTGTAAGGCAAGGTGATCTTGAGATTCAGGTTGCCCCATAAAAGCCTCACTGGAAGCAATTGCTCTGCCTTGGTCACCAAATTTTATGGACAGTCCAGACAGCATTTGTCCTTTTTTTCATATTTCTATCTACACATTGTTATGAGAGTGCCTCACATCTTCCAAGTTTCAGTGGAACTGTGTCTAAAACCCTGCAAATATAAAGCTAAAACATGTTATATGCAGGGAAAAATGAATATATGATGGAAGATGGCACATGGCAATGTTTAGATAATCTACCTTCCTAATAAGTAAGGCTTGTGCAGACTAAGAAAACAGAAGAAAAATCCCACATTGTGTGGTTTTACTCATTTACAGATGTAAAGTGAGTCTTTTAAATGATGTTGAAAGTGAGGGAATAAATTGCTTCTTTGATATTTGAAATGACAGATGATACCATGGATCCTGTTGTCCAATTGTCAGCCCTGGAAATAATTGCATGGAAGTTATTTTGGGATAAGGTTTGATACTGACAATTCTCATTTGATTTTGGTGAGGTTGGATATATATATATATATATATATATGTGTGTGTGTGTGTGTGTGTGTGTGTGTGTGTAAACTTTACTGCCTATCAGTCAGGATGCAGCCAATGTTGCTTTAATGTTAGCTATTGCATCAGATGAACAAACTCATGGCGGTTAAAAGCTAGTTGCTGTTGAGATTGCAATCCCAGATGGTTAGAATGCTTTACCATTTTTACATCCACAACTTGGGGGTGGGATGTTAAAAACATTGAATACCCATCAGAAAAAGGGAAAACAAAAGCAATAGCTAAAGTTCTTTTCCAATACACAGAAATAGGAGAAGAAGCCAATTTAATACTGATAGACAAGATCTCCAAAGTCCCCTTATTTAAGAGTTTTTTCCAGTGATGCTGCAGATATTTCAGCAGCAGTGATATGTGTTTGTAAGTTAGTCCATTTGGACTTTGTAATGTTTTGTTTCCATTTAAGAAGACCATCTGTGCACATTATACCTCCCATAATGAGATGTTGCCTCCTAGACTGAAAACAAAAAAACCCAAGCCCAAAGCTGACTAGGATAGGATTTTGGGTGGGGGGGCAGGGAGGGCAAAATCTCTCTCCAACTGCAACCAAAAAAAGAAGTATTTTTCCATAGGTTATTATTTTCTATAGTTTGATTTGTTTTAAATTATGTTATTAATTACTGTAAAAACTTGGCTGGGAAGGACTCAAATTGCAGAGAAGTTTAACCGCCGAGAGTCCCTCCTTGTGGGGGAGTTGGGTGGTGATATAAATTTGACATATAAAATAAATAAATAAATAAAT